AAATATTTAGGAAGCTTCATTTAAAGTTAAATTAAAATGCAGAGCCCTCTGGACCAGTGGCCAGGACTTGGGCAGCGTGAGTGTCACTGAAAATCAGCTCGCGTGCCGCCTTTGACATGCGCCATAGGTTGCCTAACCCTGACCTATATGATATCATTGTATTACATGAAATACATTTGCATGATCTTGTTTCCTGGGGCAGCTAAAAAGCATCCTAAGGCACTTTAAGAATCTCGTGCATAAATAAACGTAGCTAAATATTCTGGTCTTTCCTGTCCCTATAGCTGCAATGTGCTAACTGAAGGGTGCTGGTTAACTACACTGTGCTACTTTCTCGCTCCTTTCCTGTTTTTGTATCTGTATCATGCACGTACACGTCTCTGGGTGGCTGTGGTCACCAACCACACTCTGATGAGGTTTCTGTTCCCTCTCCCGTCCAGTGTCTTCCTGAGCAGCAGCTGCAGGTCTCTCTGTTTCCCACACTCAGACTAGTTTCTTTTTCCCTTCCTGTCTCTAGCTGCAGCTTTTGCAGAACATGTAGGGTGTGTGTATGCGTGCGTATGTGAGAGCGAAAGACAGCCCATGTAGGGTGTGTGTGTGTGTGTGAAAGAGAGAGAGAGAGAGAGAGAGAGAGAGGGAGAGAGAGAGAGCCCAGCTCCTTCATTTCTGCCCAAGGCATGAGTGTGTCGTTTGTTTTCTAGTCAGTTCAGGAACTGTCTCTTTGGTGGCTCTAACTTAGTTCTGCAAGAAATTTAGCTCTAAACAAGAGCTTTACCGTGACCATAGCCCAGTGGTCCTGAGGCCTGCACCTGACAGGCCCCCTGACTGCCCTCTGCTACTGAAACCTTCCCACCCTCAGTGAAAAGCAGCCTCACCTCTGCCAAATCTTTTCTCATCTCCCTTACAACAATCACCCCACCCCTCAAACATACCCCCTCCCTCATACACACACACACACACACACTCCAAGGGACAAGTGTCCTGACAGGCTGCAGATTTCCTACCTCAGCTCAGCTTGTGGTCCCTCGTTCTCCGGTACTGTTCCATGTGTAGGAAGTTATGTAGGAAGGAGTCGCGCTACTGTGTGTAAGGGAGTGTCTCAGAGTTTGGGCAGAAAGCTGTCGAGCCATTGATAAAAGAATGGGGCTAAACATTAGGGCCGGGGTTACAAAGCCATCTTGACTCTGGTGTATGAAGCATAAACCATTGGGAGTTTGAGGTTTAGCAGGTCATTTTCAGACATGTCCTTATGAAATTGAGAGACTTCCATGGGTTCCTGTAGAAAGAAAAGGTCACACAGCACACGGGATTTGGTCTGGGATTTTATGGTTAACTAACTAGCTCTCATTATATTTGGATTTAATATGAAGCTTCTGCAGCTGGGACATAGTCACTCAGCAGTGTCCACACGGGGCGCGAGATGCAGTCATCAGCTGCCTCGTGAGGAAGGAGGGGCAGCCAAGACCAGCGACCAAGAACTGGTGAAATGAGTCCGTCTGGCACAGCCAGGACGGTGAAGGATCCAGTGAGCTCTACTGTGAAAAACCACAAAAATCTATTGTGCTGCAAAAAATGGATTAACACCAGTGATGTGTGTCCAGGAAGGTCTTTGGACTTTGCACTGCAGGGCCCGATTCATGAGAACCCCTTCCAGGGGATTCACCCAATGTAGGAGGCGTTTCCCACCAGAGCACAGCCAGCAGCCCTGATGTGATAATTGGGCTGACACATTTGCCCTAATTGTCAGCTCAGCTGTGAGATGTGAATGAAAGGTCACAGAAAGTCGCAATAACCAATTGTTCATAGAAAAGTTGCAAAAGCGAGACACAGACTGAATTAGAACAAACAAAAAAAGCCTCCTGATATAATTCAAGGACTGTGTAAAGATCATGCCTGGTAATCAAGAGGATCAGAAGACCGGAAATCAATAAACCAAAATTGGTATGTTGTAAATTAGGCCTAACTGGTGGACAAAGTAATGAGGGGACGGGCAGTTCCATCCATTGCTCCCTTTTGGGGTCCTTAAAGAAAGAAGACTTTGGGAGAAAAATTGGCAACTGGATGAGCTTCACCTGCATGGCGGCCACCCGCACCATCTCCTGGGACCCCACACCATTGTCATTGTGATCCTGAGAGTCATCCTGACCAGTCCAGGCCAGAGCCAGGGACCCAGATACCCTCACCACCTCCACCAGCTCCAGCTGAATTCCAAACACCACTTGCTGGTCTTTTCTCTCCCCTTTGGTGTGTATTTATCTTGTTTTGTTTGCTAGGAAATGGGAGGTGATTTCTTTACCCAGTGCCCTCCTCTCTCCTTTGCTCTGCCAGGAATGGGAATGTGCGTCTCAGCTGTGTGTGGACTATCTCAGCCCACTCACCCACTGGGGAGGATTTGCATACAAACTGAAAGCACATCACTCCCTTGAGTGAGTGGCATTGCCACCTGGCACATAGGGTCACAAAACCATTCATTCCAATTTGGCCTGGCTGCTCCTCATCAGGAGGAAGGGACTGCAGGGACAAATGTCAGTGGTGTTACAACTGTGAGTGCCAGGCCGCAACACTGCTCATTCCACTAAATGACACGCTCTCAGTTTGTGAGCAGCTCCATATCAGTTACAGAAAATGGCCTCATCACAAATGTCTAGAGTGCCTGTGCATTGATCTGCCCTGCCCACAACCCACCCCTACACTAGGCTCTACTCCAATGGAGGAGAATTCAGCACCAGATGTTTTTTGTGGAACCTTCTGGGAGAGGCTCTGGGTCAAAAAATGGTGCATTTGGGGGAGTTTGCCACACATGTTTGTTGTTTGATAGTAAAGATTTGGGTAATGGGTGAGCTGGTTCTATGGCGGTATGTGTTTGGGGTTATTGGGTGTGCTGGTTTTATGGCAATGTACATTCGGAGTTATTAGGAGTTCTGGTTTTATGGCAACGTGTGTTTGGGGTTATTGGATGTGCTGGTTTTATGGTGATGTACATTTGGGGTTATTGCGAGTTCTGGTTTTATGGCGGTGTGAGTTCAGGGTTATTGGGTGTGCTGGTTTTAAGATGATGCGTGTTTGGGGTTATTGGTTGGGGGGGTTATTGAGTGTGCTCGTTTTGTGCCGATGTATGTTTGGGGTTATTGGATGTGCTGTTTTGGGGGGTTATTGGGTGTGCTGGTTTTATGGCAGTGTGCTATCAGGGTTATTGGGTGTGCTGGTTTTATGGTGCTGTGTGTTCAGGGGTTATTGGGTGTGCTGGTTTTAGGGCGGTATGAGATCAGGGTTATTCGGTGTGCTGGTTTTAGGGCGGTATGAGATCAGGGTTATTGGGTGTGCTGGTTTTATGGTGCTGTGTGTTTGTGTTGTTGGGTGTGCTTTTTATGGTGGTGTGTTTGGGGTTATCGAGTGTGCTGGTTTTAGGGTGGTGAGCATTCAGGGTTTTTGGGTTTGCTGGTTTTATGGTGCTGTGTGTTTGGGTTATTGGGTGTGCTGGTTGGTGATGTGTGTCAGGTGGCTCCCCAGACAGGAATCTCTAAGAAACTATAAATGGATGAAAGGGGTGAATGAGTGTGTTGGGTTGTGTGTTCTTCAGGTGATGAATGAGATGTGCCTGCTGCAGTGAGGGGCTCTGGGTGTCTGGGGTTACTGGTTGTGTTGTGGTGGTTCTGAAGAATTGTGGCAGTTTGGGCCAAGTATCCACCCTCTGTGCAGTCTCCCTCATACAACGAAGGAAATTATTGTATGAAAATTAGCTATACAATAGGGGTGGGACTGGTTAGGAGAGATGTACCCAGATAATCCTCCCAAGTGACCTGCTCCCACACGCTGCAGAGGAAGGTGAAAAAACCCCAAGGTCTCTGCCAATCCGAATGCACCCTAGGATTGCATTTGCCTCTTTCACAGCCACTTAGCTTGGTGGCTCATAGTCAACTTCGGATCAATGAACACACCCAGGTGTCTCTCCTCCTCTGTCACTTCCAACTGATGAGTGCCCAGCTCATCGCAGAAATTCTTATTAGTAGACCTTTAGTGTATAACTTTGCACTTTGTAATATACAATTTGTCACTCCAGTCTTCAAGGTCATCCAGGCTTTCCTGCATAATATTCTCATCCTGCTCTGCATTGACAATGCACCCCAACTTTGTATCATCAGAAAATTACATTAGCACACTCCTACTTTTTGTGCTAAGCTCATTAATAAAAACATTGACTGATTTGTGCCAAGACTGATCCTTGAGGAACTCCACTAGAGACCTCCTTCCAGTCCAATAGTTCACCTTTCAGCATAACCTTCTCCCCTTTCTCCCAGTTTCTTACCCACCCATGCATCAATCTCTTATCTCACCCAATGGTCACTTTGACATTTACCAGGATAATGATGCTGAGCCACCTGGCTGCAGGAAGGACTCCAGGAGGGATTGTTCCTCCAACTGTCTTGGGTGCAGGGGGAATGTACACACTGCACCATCTCTTTCGATGCTAATGCCTGCTATCTCTTGTATCCCCAGTTAGGTAGTTGGGTTGGTGAGGAGGTGTACGGGGCTAGGCTCTCCCTTCTCTCTGTCTGCTTTGTAGTGACTGAGTGGCTCTAGAAAGAAGTGTCTATGCTTCGCATGTAAAGGGACTGCCATTGTGCCTGGGCCTTGAACAGCAGATGTGGGGCAGTTAGACTCCTCGCACCATCCCTCTCTTCATGCCCTAGACCCTTCATGCGAAAGGTCTAGGGAATACCTGCACTTAATCTTTGGAGACAGTTTTAACATCAGCAAACCCAGACATGATTTTAATAATAGCAAAACATTTATTGTTATCAGCAAAGTATGAAAGCATCAGGGACCATCTATATCACCATTTGCATCTAGATCCCAGCCAGTGTCAACGTATCACTAGAAGCAGTCTGTATACACAACCAAATGTATGTACATCTTTACTTTGCGGTAACAGGTGGCAGTAAACACATTTCACAAGTACAAAAACATGCTTTGTAGGATGGTACGTGCTTTGGCAAAGGAAAAACAGCATGAAAAATAAAAATAAAATCAAAAGCAATTATTTCTGCACCTTCAGTTCTAGATGTCTATTACTCACAAACCTCACCACAAAACCTTGCATAGAATGCACACAGATGTCACATAGTAAGCTAACTAAACCCTTGGCACTCCTACCTAGCCCAATTTTGCAATAGTAAGTAATACAGCTGAATTGTTATCTAACTCCTTAATTGACTAGTGAAAGATAAATCAGAAAGAATCAGGTTTAACTTTCAGTTCCCAGGTTGGGTTTGCAGTACTAACAATGGAAAAAAATACCTAGAGTGAGCAAATTTGATCTGGAGATACGGCGAGACAAAAACATGAAACCTACAATGCGATTTTCACAGGAATTTTTAAAAAAGGGAACAAAACCGATAAATGAATTTAAATTTACTCTGATTGAAATGATTCAATTTTATACTATTGAGTACTTCACTGCAGAAAAGAGTAACAGCTTTCCATTTTTTCTGCTTTAAAAAACAAACTAACAAAGCCTTCTCAAGTATTTCCATATAAATACATTATGCAAATTGGAGTCAACCAACCACCACCTGTAATAATAGTGAGGGAAAACAATGAGTCCCAGGCACTCATGTCTAAAGGAATGTATGTAAGGGGAGTTCACACTGTGCTCTGCCTTCCCCCGGGGCCCAGCACTGGAGAGGGAGTCTTGGGCTATGTCTAACCTGCGGAGCTAGGGGTGTGATTCCCAGTTTGCACTGGCAGACTCATGCTAGCTCTCGTGCAGCTAGCGTGCTCAAAATAGTCACGACTGCATGGGCAGCAGCAGCGGGACAGGCTAGCCACCCTGAGTGCACCCCAGCGGGGTTCAGGCGGGTTTATACTCAGGGAGGCTAGCGTATGCCGCTGCTCATGCTGACATGGCTACAGTACTATTTTTAGTGTGTTAGCTCAAGGAGAGCTAGCGCGAGTATGTCTACGCAAGCTGGGAATCACACCCCAGGTCATAATATAGACATAGCCTCACTCTGAGCCTCTCATGCTGGATGGGCTGCCAAAAAACTGCTTCAGGTCTTGTGGAGTAGTGAAGAAACTCTTTCTCCCATCATACTAAGGAATGACTTTTGCAGGGTACCACACCCTTGGATTAAGTCCCTTTCTGGTAAGCAGGCGTCTATATTTATTCCACTCTGCACTTGCACTAGGTTCTGGTCTAAGCAAACACATATCTGCTCACCTTGGAATAGCGGTTTACCTGTTTATAGTTTCTCCCAGCACAAATTCTCTTTCTTGGAATCTTGTAAAGGTTATAACTAAAGTCACAGTGTCTTTTCCTTTCCATTCCATTCCATTCCTCTTCCTCATTCTCCTTCGTGATTAGAAACTAATGTACAAAAACTGTGGTAATTCCTTTCCAGGCTGTTCTTCACCTGTATGATTCTCAGACTGGGTCTCCTGTTTCTATTTCCCAAATTTTCTGTTTATCTACCAAGGAATCTACAAGTCAACTATTTCTTTATTAGCTTCCTGAAGTGTTCCTGGAGCAGGAGCCCAGCAGTGCATAGTGCATAGCAGATGCGTACATGGCAATATATATTGCTTCTACCATGTAGGTATATTGTTCATGTTTATACTAAGTCATGTAATTACATTGCACACATTGAATTCATGCATTATAACGGTGATAGCAATTAGCCTTTGGAACAGATTATCAAAGCATGTGATAGATTCACTAGCACAAGGGAGAAAGTATCTTAGCAATTAAGGGCCCATTTCATTCCTTGTGTAGCTCTACTGGCTTCAGTGGAGCTACACCAGGGATGAATTTGGTCCTAAAATGCAGAATGTTGGGGTCCGTACGTGTAACAAGCAGTGAAACTTCATTTGTGACTTTTATAGACTCAGAATAACAGGATAAAGAAGATAAATGTAGCTCAGTTATCATTAAACCAACCCATAATTACTTCAAAAGCAAATTTAAATGCATCCAAAAGCATTTTACATATTATATCACTTTCAGCTTCTTCCCTGGCTCCTGCTTGTTTTGCAGCATAATCTCTCTCTTTTTCTCCTAAAAGTCTCAATTTTTGTTGTTGCAAAACCATCTCCTTTTCTGCCATGTCTTTCTCCCACATTATCCTCTCCTTTTCATCTTGATACTGCTTTTGTTCTTCATCCCTTATTTTTAATTCTTCCTTGAGTTGTTTAATTTGCTTCTCATAATCACGTTTTATTTTCTCTGTCTCTCTTTCCAGCTGCTCTGCATAGGCTTTTTTCAGCTCCTCTGTTTTCTCTTGAAGCTTCTTCTCAGCATAGTTATACATCTCATTCGTGTGATATGTGCCTCCGTTCTCCTGCACCATCTTATCTACCATCTCCAGCAGCTCATTAACCTGGGCATCCCGTTCTTCTCCGGTTGTTCTGTTGTTGAATGCACAGTATCGTTTTCCAAATTTTCCTACCAGCTCACAAAGGCCTTGGGCATCAGAGTCTTTTATGAACTCTTCTAATTCGGTACCATCTAAATCATCTTTCCGAGTGAATAACAGGATCACGTACCTCATGGACTCAGCTCCAAAAATATCTTGTATTCGTTTGACTGCTTTTTTTTCCTCCTCAGTGTAACGGATCAGTGACACCACGAGAACAATGGCATGGGGCCCTGGGGAGGAGGCTACAATACAGCGACTGATCTCTCGACAAGTTTCTTCCACTGGTACATGCGTGTGAAAAATGCCAGGAGTATCAACCACCACCACATTCCTCTCATTCCAGATTCTTGCCCCCTTACTGCAGTTTGCAGTTACAGACTTTGGTGAGAGTTTGGACTCAAACACTTTCTTGCCAAGGATGGTGTTTCCTGTTGCACTTTTCCCAGCTCCAGTTTTACCTACAAGGATGATTCTCAGTTCTGATTCCCCAGTGTAGCGGCCGACATCCCCTGGGGCTGTTGGAACACGTGTGAGATATTCATGACATTACAAAGAAAACCAAGTAGAGATGGGTAGCTTTGAGGATTTCTGCCTATACAACTATAGACATTTGAATGTGCAAAGGTTAAGACGTTTTCACTTTAGAACTGAATGGCACAGTAATTGATGGCCTGATCCAGCTCCCATTCAAGTCACTCCACATTGGGAATCTTTCCACTGACTTCACTAAGAGTTGGATCAGGATCTATGGGCACTAACTTCTCACCTCTGAGGGTTTAGCTTCAGAACTAGTGATCATTGGTTTACTGGCCTCAGAGTCACTCGTGGACACTGGTCCACATCCCAGAAGACCAAGCAGTCTGGGCCATCTCTACACTTGGGAGACACAGGATTGGAAGAGCAGTGTTCCTGGCAGGTCAGGAATGTGGTGCACTGACAGTCTGGGTTAGGAGGGAATATCTTTCAGAGTGGCTGCATGCACTGTCCTTGGCTCTTCAGCCTTTATACTCATGGGCAGTAATGATTATAAAAAGTCGCCAACTATAAAAACCCATTTTAAAACCTCTTTTGTCATGAGCCCCTGCTACACTTCTGACCTTGTTCCTCGGGGGGTTCTTACCCTTATTTAAGATATTTCCATCAACACTCAGTGCAGAACATTAATCTCAAATGGGAAGGAGCTCACCTACAGACAATAAACCTTTAAGTATTTATACTTATATTAATTAAGGGCAAAGAAGGGACAGGATAGAGTCCCAACTGTTATTTCCTTACCATCGGTTTGTTCTTTCTGTATCCAGCTTTCCATTTTTACTTGAAATATCTGTTGAAAAACAATTTTATTTAAAACCTAGAAGAGCCTTCACACAGAAGAACGTACTACAGATATTCAGATAAAAGAGAAACTTCAACAACCATCTATGAATACTTTTGTGTCATATATGAAGTCGCCCCTCTGTCTTTCAACTGGAAAGGATTATGGCAGAAAATTAAATGCAAAAGAAGCTAAATGTGAATGACACATTTTGAAGACCCTTTACTAAAAATTGTGAAGAAAATCTGGACCTGATTTTGAATACTGGCCTCTAATTTAGCACCTGAATTTTTATAGGCATATTTAATTCATAGAATCATAGAATATCAGGGTTGGAAGGGACCTCAGGAGGTCATCTAGTCCAACCCCTTGCTCAAAGCAGGACCAATCCCCAATTAAATCATCCCAGCCAGGGCTTTCTCAAGCCTGACCTTAGAAACCTCTAAGGAAGGAGATTCTACCACCTCCCTAGGTAACCCATTCCAGTGCTTCACCACCCTCCTAGTGAAAAAGTTTTTCCTAACATCCAATCTAAACCTCCCACACTGCAACTTGAGACCATTACTCCTTGTCCTGTCATCTTCTACCACTGAGAACAGTCTAGATCCATCCTCTTTGGAACCCCCTTTTAGGTAGTTGAAAGCAGCTATCAAATCCCCCCTCATTCTTCTCTTCTGCAGACTAAACAATCCCAGTTCCCTCAGCCTCTCCTCATAAGTCATGTGTTCCAGTCCCCTCATCATTTTTGTTGCCCTTCGCTGGACTCTGTCCAATTTATCCACATCCTTCTTGTAGTGTGGGGCCCAAAACTGGACACAGTACTCCAGATGAGGCCTCACCAATGCCGAATAGAGGGAAATGATCACATCCCTCGAACTGCTGGCAATGCTCCTACTTGTACAGCCCAAAATGCCATTGGCCTTCTTGGCAACAAGGGCACACTGTTGACTAATATCCAGCTTCTTGTCCACTGTAACCCCTAGGTCCTTTTCTGCAGAACTGCTGCCTAGCCATTCGGTCCCTAGTCTGTAGCAGTGCATGGGATTCTTCCTTCCTAAGTGCAGGACTCTGCACTTGTCCTTGTTGAACCTCATCAGATTTCTTTTGGCCCAATCCTCTAATTTGTCTAGGTCCCTCTGTATCCTATCCCTACTCTCCAGTGTATCTACCTCTCCTCCCAGTTTACTGTCCTCTGCAAACTTGCTGAGGGTGCAATCCACGCCATCCTCCAGATCATTAATGAAGATATTGAACAAAACAGCCCCAGGACCAACCCTTGGGGCACTCCGCTTGATACTGGCTGCCAACTAGATATGGAGCCATTGATCACTACCCTACGAACCGACTAGCAAAGGGAAGGGGAGGCACCACCTAGATCCAAGTGCTCCTTACCCCAGAGGGAGGGCTGTCTCCTCTGCACACATCTGAGTCTAGGGGAATGATGGGGGCAGGGGTGGCCTCAGCTGAGCACCATTTTATGCCCTCCCATCAGAGGGCAGGAGCCAATTTATATGATATCACAAACCTAAACATTCAAAAATCCTGAGTAAGACAGAAAACCCACAAGATTGGCTTAAGAATCTCAGGATTTTTACAACTAATAAATTTGGGGTTATTTTTAGTTGCCTTCTGGTTTTTGAGCCTTTAGGGTACAATCTCCTCACATTTGCAAGCTTTTCTCTCCAACTATGAGGGCTAGAAACTTAATAAGAAACTGAGAGTCAGATGTATTCACAAGACTCCATGAGCTGAAGCTTTAGGAAAAACACCAATTACCATGAGAGTCATGATCAAATCATAAAAGTTGGCAACACTGCTTACAATTCAATGTTCAGCCTGAAACAAACACGGACAATGGTAAATAAATAAATAAGGAGACAGGCAAGAAAACAATATCTCACTTTTTAAAGTCTCACGAAATTTAAGCCAACGTCAGAAGTTTAGGGGGTCCGGCTTGTGATTTTTGAACTCCTCAGTCTTGGCCATATTGACAAGAAGGGTTTCTTCAGGTATGTTGGCAACAAGAAGAAAGCCAAGGAAAGTGTGGGCCCCTTAATGAATGAGGGAGGCAACCTAGTGACAGAGGATGTGGAAAAAGCTAATGTACTCAATGCTTTTTTTGCCTCTGTCTTCACGAACAAGGTCAGCTCCCAGACTACTGCACTGGGCATCACAAAATGGGGAAGAGATGGCCAGCCCTCTGTGGAGATAGAGGTGGTTAGGGACTATTTAGAAAAGCTGGACATGCACAAGTCCATGGGGCCGGACGAGTTGCATCCGAGAGTGCTGAAGGAATTGGCGGCTGTGATTGCAGAGCCATTGGCCATTATCTTTGAAAACTCGTGGCGAACGGGGGAAGTCCCGGATGACTGGAAAAAGGCTAATGTAGTGCCAATCTTTAAAAAGGGAAGAAGGAGGATCCTGGAAACTACAGGCCAGTCAGCCTCAACTCAGTCCCTGGAAAAATCATGGAGCAGGTCCTCAAAGAATCAATCCTGAAGCACTTGCATGAGAGGAAAGTGATCAGGAACAGCCAGCATGGATTCACCAAGGGAAGGTCATGCCTGACTAATCTAATCGCCTTTTATGATGAGATTACTGGTTCTGTGGATGAAGGGAAAGCAGTGGATGTATTGTTTCTTGACTTTAGCAAAGCTTTTGACACGGTCTCCCACAGTATTCTTGTCAGCAAGTTAAGGAAGTATGGGCTGGATGAATGCACTATAAGGTGGGTAGAAAGCTGGCTAGATTGTCGGGCTCAACGGGTAGTGATCAATGGTTCCATGTCTAGTTGGCAGCCGGTGTCAAGTGGAGTGCCCCAGGGGTCGGTCCTGGGGCCGGTTTTGTTCAATATCTTCATAAATGATCTGGAGGATGGTGTAGATTGCACTCTCAGCAAATTTGCGGATGATACTAAACTGGGAGGAGTGGTAGATATGCTGGAGGGGAAGGATAGGATACAGAAGGACCTAGACAAATTGGAGGATTGGGCCAAAAGAAATCTGATGAGGTTCAATAAGGATAAGTGCAGGGTCCTGCACTTAGGACGGAAGAATCCAATGCACAGCTACAGACTAGGGACCGAATGGCTCGGCAGCAGTTCTGCGGAAAAGGACCTAGGGGCGACAGTGGATGAGAAGCTGGATATGAGTCAGCAGTGTGCCCTTGTTGCCAAGAAGGCCAATGGCATTTTGGGATGTATAAGTAGGGGCATAGCAAGCAGATCGAGGGACGTGATCGTTCCCTCTATTCGACATTGGTGAGGCCTCATCTGGAGTACTGTGTCCAGTTTTGGGCCCCACACTTCAAGAAGGATGTGGATAAATTGGAGAGAGTCCAGCAAAGGGCAACAAAAATGATTAGGGGTCTAGAACACATGACTTATGAGGAGAGGCTGAGGGAGCTGGGATTGTTTAGTCTGCAGAAGAGAAGAATGAGGGGGGATTTGATAGCTGCTTTCAACTACCTGAAAGGGGGTTCCAAAGAGGATGGCTCTAGACTGTTCTCAATGGTAGCAGATGACAGAACAAGGAGTAATGGTCTCAAGTTGCAGTGGGGGAGGTTTAGATTGGATATTAGGAAAAACTTTTTCACTAGGAGGGTGGTGAAACAATGGAATGCGTTACCTAGGAAGGTGGTAGAATCTCCTTCCTTAGAGGTTTTTAAGGTCAGGCTTGACAAAGCCCTGGCTGGGATGATTTAACTGGGAATTGGTCCTGCTTCGAGCAGGGGGTTGGACTAGATGACCTTCTGGGGTCCGTTCCAACCCTTATATTCTATGATTCTATGACTCTCTCCCCACACCCCATTCCTCCTTCTACCTGGAGAGGAAAGGGATGGCAAGCCGGGGAATTGAGACTTACTACTGCTCAGCATAGAGGACTCTGCCTAGCCCGTAGGCTATGTCCACCCTTGTGGCAGTGGGTAGCATACAGAGACTGTATGCCCAGCTAGCATGGGTGTAACTAGCAGTGTAGATGGTGAGGCGCACCTTAGGCAAGTATCAGAGTAACAGCCGTGTTAGTCTGTATTTGCAGAAAGAAAAGGAGGACTTGTGGCACCTTAGAGACTAACCAATTTATTTGAGCATAAGCTTTCGTGAGCTACAGCTCACTTCATCGGATGCATACTGTGGAAAGTGTAGAAGATCTTTTTATATACACACAAAGCATGAAAAAATACCTCCTCCCGATGAAGAGAGCTGTAGCTCACGAAGGCTCATGCTCAAATAAATTGGTTAGTCTCTAAGGTGCCACAAGTACTCCTTTCCTTAGGCAAGTAGAGTGCCCTACATGCCTGAACCCCAGTGTTTTACACCAAGGGTGGGCAAACTTTTTCGCCCCAGGGCCACGTTGGGGTTGCAAAATTGTACGGAGGACCGGGTAGGGAAGGCTTTGCCTCCCTAAACAGACTGGCCCCGCCCCCATCTGACCCCCACCCACTTCCCGCCCCCTGACTACCCTCCTCAGAACCATCGACACATCCAAACCACCCCTGCTCCTTGTCCCCTGACCACCTCCTCCCGAGACTCCCCTGACCCTAACCGCCCGGGACCCCAGCCCCTATCCAACCCACCCCACTCCCTATCCCCTGACTGCCCCAGCCTCTATCCACAGCCCCGCCCCCTGACTGCCCCCCGGGACTCCCTGCCCCTTATCCAACCACCCCTCCCCGGCTCCAGTCCCCATCCCCTGACCGCCCCCCTAGAACCTTTGCCCCATCCAACCCGCACCCCACTCCCTGTCCCCTGACTGCCCCAACCCCTATCCACAGCCCCGCCCCCCCTCCCCCCCCCCCCCCCCCCCCCCCCCCCCCCCCCCCCCCCCCCCCCCCCCCCCCAACCCCCCCCCCCCCCCACCCCCCCCCCCCCCCCTTTCCCCTGACTGCCCCAACCCCTATCCACAGCCCCGCCCCCTGACTGCCCCAACCCCTATCTACAGCCCCGCCCCCTGACCGCCCCCCGGCTGAGATGGTCAGCGTGTGCACTGGAGCTCTCAGAGCTGACCAGAGAGTCAAGTTTGCAGTTAGTGCTCAAATACCTGTAGCAGGCATGACTGGCATGTGTGTGTTCTTGATGCCCATCCTTGTCTCCATATTAACATTCCCCTATCTGGGTGTGTGGCTTAACCCAGTCCCCCAGGCCAAGTCATTCCTCACTCCAAACCCTCCCCTAGCTAAAGTGTTGTGTAACAGGAGACTCTGTTGTGTCATAAAGAAGGTGCTTATGTTGCTGAAACCTCGGCCATACTTCAGCTCCCTGTCCTTGGCAGGAGTGTTCCCCCTCCACGCCGCTGAGCTCCCTTAGTGTTTGTTATTTTCCTAGGGCTCACTCCGGCCTGTAGCCCAGAGTCGCTTGGTGGCCAGGAGGCAACGTTCTTGTGACTGCCAGAGTGGATTCCCTTAAACTACCCATCCTGCTCAACAGCCTTTTACCTGCACCTCTTTGTGCAACCCTCCAAACTTCTGCTGTGCTGCATCCAGCCCATTATTGGAGGAGTTGTGAAGAGCAGTGAGGAGAGAAATAATACAAAGGGATTGTCAAGGTTCCTTCCCCACTCTGAACTCTAGGGTACAGATGTGGGGACCTGTATGAAAACCTCCTAAGCTTACTTTTACCAGCTTAGGTTAAAACTTCCCCAAGATACAAACTATTTTACCCTTTGCCCTTGGACTTCCACTGACACCACCAAACATTTATCTGGGCTTACTGGGAAAACGTGGTTTGGAAACGTCTTTCCCCCCAAAATCCTCCCAACACTTGCACCCCACTTCCTGGGAAAGGTTTGGTAAAAATCCTCACCAATTTGCATAGGTGACCACAGACCCAAGCCCTTGGATCTTAGAACAATGAAAAAGCATTCAGTTTCCTTACAAGAAGACTTTTAATAGAAGAAACAGTAAAAAGAAAAGGATCACCTCTGTAAAATCAGGATGGTGAATACCTTACAGGGTAATTAGATTCAAAACATAGAGAATCCCTCTAGGCAAAATCTTAAGTTATAAAAAGACACACAGATAGGAATATTCCTTCTATTCAGCATAACTTATTTTCTCAGCCATTTAAAGAAATCATAATCTAAAGCATATCTAGCTAGATTACTTACTAAGTTCTAAGACTCCATTCTTGTTCCGTCCCCGGCAAAAGCCTCTCCCAGACAGACACAGACCCCTTTGATGTTCTCCCTCTTCCCAGCTTTTGAAAGTATCTTGTCTCCTCATTGGTCATTTTAGGCAGGTGCCAGCGAGGTTATCCTAGCTTCTTAACCCTTTACAGGTGAAAGGGTTTTTCCTCTGGCCAGGAGGAATTTTAAAGGTGTGTACCCTTCCCTTTATATTTATGACAGGGATCCAGAGAGATTCTAACAGAAAATGAGAAATGAGAATCATCTTGAAAAAATGCATCTCTGGAAAATAATCCAAACTACTGACTGAGTAGAAAGGAGAAACTTGGGAAGCACTGCTACAGAAAGAAACGTGGGGGGGAACTACAGTGGGGAGCAAGGCCAGGTTTTTTTGGGAGCTGCAGATACAAAGGCATCACATGAGAGAACAAGGAATAATAACCCTAATATATGGCTCTGTTGATACTGCACCATCAATATTGCATTTAATTCTGGGCACCACCTTTCCAAAGAGCTATTGACAAAATGAAGAGAGTTCACAGAAGTGCAAAAATTATCCAAGGGCTGAACGGACTGGGGAAGATTAAAAGAGCTACACATGTATGGCTAAGATGCATCACAACTAAGGGCACAAAATAACTGTCTAGCAATATCTAAGTGTTTTAACACCAAGAAGGGAGAGACATTAGTTATGGTGGTACAAGGGAGTATAACAGGAGTAACAGAATAAAGCTACACCAAGAGAAAACTTAGGCTGGACCTGAAGAAAAATTTCCTGAGCGTGAGATGCATTTTACTAGACTGCAAACTATTTTCCTCAAGGGAAGAGATGGGAACCCTGCCACTTGGGACATTTAAAACTAGACTGAAAAAATTCCTATAAATGTCCTTTCTGGAACAACTCTGCATTCATGGGGAGATAGAGTGGATGATCCACGAGGCCTTTTCCATCTCTAACTGCTGTGACTTTACAACTGGAGGGTTTTAAATCACCCCGAAGCATGCCTGAACACTGGAGACCTGCAGACTCTGAGGGACAGGAAGTTTCCTGTGTTTATGTGAAGGTTACTAGCATATGGTCTGATATTACACACACACGCAACCCCACATTAACTGTAGTTTCAATCAGGTTATGAGACATCAGAATCTAATCTGGTCTAGAAAAGATTTGGAAACCTCATATAGAAAAGCTGTCATCTCACTGCCTATCACTGTGCCTGCAGGCATGGTCGAGCTATCTTCTCTGCTGGTTAAACGTAGAGAGGAATAGCAGCCTGTTACTTGGGTTTTCTCCCTTTGACTCCAGCATTTTCACAAACCTTTTTCCTTTAAACATATCACAGGAGTTTAAAACAAATTTGCCCTCCCCCATACACATACACACACCTGTGTGCTGCTTTCTTAGCCTGAGGAACAACAGTGTGGTCTTCCTGCAGATCTGGCCAACTTCTCCACTGCTCTTCCAAGCTGCGGCTGCTCCTGTTTTATTGGGGAAGAGGATGTTCTCTTCTGGCGTCTGTTGAATAAGCTCAGTCAGAGAAAAAAGTTCAGTTTCACTATGAGTATGTGCTGGGGGTGGGGAGAAAGGAGGAGGGGTTAGCAATCAGCCAATTGCCTTTGCCAGAAAGCCTCTCAGAGAGTTTTACAGACACTGAGCGATGTGCCCCTGTTTCAGAGAGGAAGAAAGCATCCCATAAGCATTCAAAAAATAATCCCACTGTCCAATAGAGTCCTCAGTCCCACTGTCAGTGGATAGATCAGGAAATCATTATTTTTATAAAGATCGTCCATCTTCTTTAGCCGAACAGCTCCAAATCACTGACCCACTTCTCAGTTCCAGTGTTTCTGGCACTTAGTACTCTAGGTTCTCCTCACCCAATGCCTGACCTTAAGGGTGGACCTCTGTGTTTATCCCCAGAGCACCCCCACTACCACCTGCTATTCCAAGCTGTGTGCTCTAACCTGCCAGAGAGCTCATGTTTCTCCAAACTCGAGTGCCCTGACTTTGAGCAGCCAAATCTCGACGGCAGGCTGGAGCACAAACACGAGAATGAGAGGCCCCACCCACAACCCTATAAAACATTTATCTTTATAAAAAAAAAAAAATAACAAAATGGAAAGGGACCCCCAAAAGGCACCTAACCCACACCCCCCCCCCCCCAAAAAAAACCCAAAACCCAAATAAACAACCCAAGCCAAGGCTTTTCCAAAACTAAAATAAAAAACTCCAAAAAAGGATGCTTCCCCCCTCCTTCCTATATACTCATTCTTTTCCTCCACCCCCTTCTAAAAAAACATTTTTCAATCCCAATCCCAACATCTCCCCTTCATTTTTATTTCACATTTTTTTTTCTTTTCTTTTTTTTTTCTAAAAACAATAAAATAACACTATTCTTTTCTTTTCTTCTTTTATTTAAGAAAAACAACATCTCCACCCCCCCTCTCTCTTCTCTTCCCTCTACTAAACAACCCCCCTTCCCTCCCTCTCTTCTCATCTCATATCTCCTCTCCTCTTTTTATCTTTTTTTCTTTTCTTTTTTCCTTTTTTATTTTTTCCTTTCTTTATCTAAGGGGGGGGGGAAGAGCCCAAACAAACACCACAAACCAGCCCCAACCCCAAAAAAAAGGGAAGGAACAAGCCCGCCCACCTCCTGGCTGCCATCCCTCTTCTTCTCCCCCCAAAACCCCCATTGCCTTTGGGGGACCAGGGGAGGCACTTTGGTTATTATCTTGTCTTCTCCCCCTCTCCCCCCTGTGTCCCTTTCTGGGCAGTCTGGGGGTCTGGCGTTGGGCCCTTGGGCGTGGGGGGGGATTGGGTTCTTTCGTCTCTTCAGGGCGGAAGCCGCTATTTTCCTTTATCCTTCTTCATCATCTTTTTTTTCTCTCTTCCCCTATATTTGTTTGGCTCTGTCCTTTTTTCTCCCTCCCCCCCCACCCTCTCTTCCTCTCCTCTTTTTTTGTTGTGTTGTCAAATCAGGATGGGGGGGGACACAACACCCCCCACCATATATATTATGAAAAAATATAACAACACCCCCCCCCGCGACGGCCGGCGGGGGCCCCCCGCTACACCCCCCCCCCCACAAAAAATTGAGCCCCTGTCCCCACCCCATTTGGCCCCCCAAACTACCCAACTTTCTACCCACCTTGTAGTGCATCCATCCAGCCCATACTTCTTTAACTTCATCTGCCAGTCATTGGATCTCATTCTGCCTTTGTCTACTAGATCAAAGATCCATCTACTATCAGAAATCATCTCCCAGGTAGGCACTTACACACCACGATAAAGCTGCCTCAGCCGTCCCTTTGCTAAACTCAATAGACTGAGTCCCCTCAGTCGTTCCCTGTAAGGCAGGCTTTCCAAACCTTGAATTATGGTTGTAGCTCTTTTCTGAATGGTTTCCAGTTTTACAACATCCTTTTTGAAGTGTGGATACCATAATGGGACACAGTCTCCATGAATGGTCTCACTAATTTTGTATATAGAACGAATGCAACCTCCTCACTTCTTCTTGATAATCCTTTGCTCATACATCCAAGGACCAGCTTAGCCCTCCTAGCTACAGCATTGCCCGGGGAGCTCATGGTCAGTTAAGGGTCATGGTAGGAACTAATTTCTTTTCAGAGTCAGCCTCCTGACTCCCTGATTAACCTGCCCGCCCTGTCAATCAGGCTGACCTGGAGCATTGGCCTCTCCCCATTGCCCCTGGGGACTGTCAGTCTCAGGGTCCTGGTTTCCCATCCACCCTTCCCCTTTTGGTACTGGGAGCTAGCAACCAAAACACCCCCGCTGAGTGTTAGTAAGGGGACAACAGCCCCCTTACATTAAAAAGGATCCGTCAGTGAGGGGCGCGCAAGGAGCTGAGAGTGAGAGGGCGCGCTGCTGGAGGACTGAGGAGGACAAACGCTCTCTGGCATCAGGGGGAAGGTCCTGTGGTGAGTATAAGAAGGTGTTGGGAGGCGGCCATGGGGATGTAGCCCAGAGAGTTGGAACTGTCATACAGCTGGTACAGGAGATGTTGTAGACACCTGCTATCCCCAGGGCCCTGGGCTGGAACCCGGAGTAGAGAGCAGGCCCGGGTTCCCCCCATCTCCACCCCCCGCCCAACTCCTTACTTTACACAAGGGGAGTTGACCTCGACTGTGAGTCACATCAGATGGGGAAGGTCTTTGGCCTGTCCCCGACCCACTAGGTAGGACAAGAGACCGCAGGGTTTGTTCTCCTCCCTTTCCCCATGCTGGCCAGTGATGAGGTTACCTGGGCAAACAGCAGGTTTGAGCCACTGGCAAAAGTGGCCTAACGGAGGGCTGCCGTGGACCTCTGAGGCGAGCAAATCTTCCAGAAAGCACAGGACCCGCCAAGGCAGAGGATTCAGAGTAGCAGCCATGTTAGTCTGTATTTGCAAAAAGAAAAGGAGTACTTGTGGCACCTTAGAGACTAACCAATTTATTTGAGCATAAGCTTTCGGGAGCTACAGCTCACTTCATCGGATGCATAAAGTGGAAAATGCAGTGAGGATGTTTTATACACACAGACCATGAAAAAATGGGTGTTTATCACTTCAAAAGGTTTTCTCTCCCCCCACCCCACTCTCCTGCTGGTAATAGCGTATCTAAAGTGATCACTCTCCTTACAATGTGTATGATAATCAAGGTGGGCCATTTCCAGCACAAATCCAGGGTTTAACAAGAACGTCTGAGGAACGGGGGAGGTGGGGGTAGGAAAAAACAAGGGGAAATAGGTTACCTTGCATAATGACTTAGCCAATCCCAGTCTCTATTCAAGCCTAAGTTAATTGTATCCAATTTGCAAATGAATTCCAATTCAGCAGTCTCTCGCTGGAGTCTGATTTTGAAGTTTTTCTGTTGTAATATCACAACTTTCATGTCTGTAATCGCGTGACCAGAGAGATTGAAGTGTTCTCCGATTGGTTTATGAATGTTATAATTCTTGATATCTAATTTGTGTCCATTTATTCTTTTACGTAGAGACTGTCCAGTTTGACCAATGTACATGGCAGAGGGGCATTGCTTGCACATGATGGCATAGATCACATTGGTAGATGTGCTGGTGAACAAGCATCTGATAGTGTGGCTGATGTTATTAGGCCCTGTGATGGTGTCCCCTGAATAGATATGTGGGCACAATTGGCAATGGGCTTTGTTGCAAGGATAGGTTCCTGGGTTAGTGGTTCTGTTGTGTGGTATGTAGTTGCTGGTGAGTATTTGCTTCAGGTTGGGGAGCTGTCTGTAAGCAAGGACTGGCCTGTCTCCCAAGATTTGTGAGAGAGATGGGTCGTCCTTCAGGATAGGTTGTAGATCCTTGATAATGCGTTGGAGAGGTTTTAGTTGGGGGCTGAAGGTGACGGCTAGTGGCGTTCTGTTATTTTCTTTGTTAGGCCTGTCCTGTAGTAGGTGACTTCTGGGTACTCTTCTGGCTCTGTCAATCTGTTTCTTCACTTCAGCAGGTGGGTATTGTAGTTGTAAGAATGCTTGATAGAGATCTTGTAGGTGTTTGTCTCTGTCTGAGGGGTTGGAGCAAATGCGGTTGTATCGTAGAGCTTGGCTGTAGACAATGGATCATGTGATGTGGTCTGGATGAAAGCTGGAGGCATGACCATCGCTTCTTAGCACTGTAGTGTCCAGGAAGTGGATCTCTTGTGTGGACTGGTCCAGGCTGAGGTTGATGGTGGGATGGAAATTGTTGAAATCATGGTGGAATTCCTCAAGGGCTTCTTTTCCATGAGTCCAGATGATGAAGATATCATCAATATAGCGCAAGCAGAGTAGGGGCATTAGGGGATGAGAGCTGAGGAAGCGTTGTTCTAAGTCAGCCATAAAAATGTTGGCACACTGTAGGGCCATGCGGGTACCCATAGCAGTGCCGCTGATTTGAAGGTATACATTGTCCCCAAATGTGAACTCTGACATCATAATCAAAAAGGCTGACAAAGGAGGTGCTGTTGTCATCATGAATAGGTCGGAATATGAACAAGAGGCTGCTTGGCAGCTCTCCAACACCACTTTCTACAAGCCATTACCCTCTGATCCCACTGAGGGTTACCAAAAGAAACTACAGAATTTGCTCAAGAAACTCCCTGAAAAAGCACAAGATCAAATCCACACAGACACACCCCTGGAACCCCGACCTGGGATATTCTATCTACTACCCAAGATCCATAAACCTGGAAATCCTGGGCGCCCCATCATCTCAGGCATTGGCACCCTGACAGCAGGATTGTCTGGCTATGTAGACTCCCTCCTCAGGCCCTACGCTACCAGCACTCCCAGCTACCTTCAAGACACCACTGTCTTCCTGAGGAAACTACAATCCATCAGTGATCTTCCTGATAACACCATCCTGGACACTAGGGATGTAGAAGCCCTCTACACCAACATTCCACACAAAGATGGACTACAAGCCGTCTAGAACACTATCCCCGATAATGTCACGGCTAACCTGGTGGCTGAACTTTGTGACTTTGTCCTTACCCATAACTATTTCACCCCAGTC